AAACGGAGGACGGATTGAAGGACATAAGGAACCGTCCGGCTTACACGCCAGGTAAAACTATATTTTCTTTCTCTAGTGAGAAGAGGGGATTGGCATCATTGGACCAGTTCCACCTCGAACGGAGGCTTGCCCCCCTGATTCTATACAAGTATCCACAAAAACAATAGAAAATTGACGACTAATTGATCTCTTTACTCGTCCCGGTCCGCCATGTTGGCCAGAGGAACGTAACCCTGATCCTGCGTCCGCTTGCCTCTGAGTCTGCGCACGACGTACTTGACTCTACTCAAGATGCCGAAGCCGCGTCTCTTGGTCTGGGCAGAGGGGTCGATCATGTAGCTCGGGCGCGTCCAGAACTTGAGCAGGAGACTGCTGACGACGACGCTGACACTGCTGCAGGCCATGGCGGCGCCGGCGGCCATCGGGTGGAGGTGGAAGCCAAAGGGTAGGAAGACGCCCATGGCGAAGGGGAGACCGATGGCGTTGTACAAGCAGGCCCAGGCTAGGTTGAGCTTGATGCGGTTGAAGATGGAGCGGGCGAGGTGGAGCGCGGCGGGGATGTCCATTAAGTCGGTGGGACGCATGAGGACGACGTCAGCCGCCTCCATGGCGACATCTGTGCCGCTGGCCATGGCAATACCGACGTCAGCGGTTGCGAGGGCAGGGGAATCGTTGATACCGTCGCCGACCATGCCGACGACTTCGCCCTGATCCTGGAGCTGCTGGACAATGGCCTGTTTCTGGTCGGGGGATACGCCAGCGAACACGTTGTCGGGGGAAATGCCGACGGCCGCAGCCACGGCGACAGCAGTGGAACGCTGGTCGCCCGTGACGATGGCGGTCTTGATCTTCATCCGGTGGAGGACAGCAATAGCAGCCGCCGCACCCTCCTTGATTGTATCAGCGAGGCAGAGGTGACCTGTGTACTGGCCGTCGATGGCAACAAAGATGTTGGTGGTGCCGGCAGAGGTGTTCTTCGAGCTGGAGTTGGCCTTCGCGTTGAGCTGCTCAGACGCCTCGACAGCTTCGGCCGGGACATCGACGTTGTTCTCGCGGAGGAAACGAACATTGCCGAGGAGAACGCGGTATCGGGTACGTTCGTTGCTGACGGCGGGTTCGACAAGCGCATTGATACCTTTTCCAACCGCTGCCTTGAATTCGCCAACGCTGCCGTCAACAGTAGCCTCTTCGTCTAGGCCGAGCTCAGTCTTTGCAGCATTAAGAACAGCTCTTCCGACAGGGTGTTCGCTGCCCATCTCAGCGAGGCCGACAATATGCCACCAGAGTCGGCGGCGCCACTCGTTGTCTTGCCAGGACGAGATGAGGCTCATCTTGGCTACGCTCATCTTGCCGTAGGTAATTGTACCAGTCTTGTCCAGAACGATCTGGGTAATTCTAGTCGTTGTCTCCAGAGCAGCTCCACCCTTCACGAGGATACCGTTCTCGGCACCGATACCGGTGCCAACCATTACGGCGGTGGGAGTAGCCAAGCCGAGAGCACAGGGGCAGGCGAAAACAATGACAGAGATGCAGAGCTTGACGCAGACCATGATCTTACCGCCGCTAGCTTCCTGAGTAAAGATCTTAGGTGGGTTCTTGAGCGCATGGCTGAGGATCATCCAAACGAGGAATGTAAGGAAACCGAGCATAAGAATGATCGGTACGAAGTAACCGGCAATCGTGTCAGCGAGTCGCTGGATGGGAGCACGAGTGGTCTGGGCATCCTGGACGAGCTTGACAATCTGGCTCAGCTGCGTGTCGCGGCCAGCCCTCGTCACTCGGAAGTCGACACGACCGTGACCGTTGACGGTACCGCCGATGAGGTAGCTGCCCTTCTTCTTGTTGACGGGCATAGCCTCGCCAGTAACCATGCTCTCGTCGACGTACGTCTCTCCGCGGACCATCATACCGTCGGCCGGAATCTTGTCACCAGGGCGAAGGATGACAACATCTCCAACCTGAAGCAGCTCGGTGGGAATGACCTTCTCCTCTGCGGCGTGACCATCACGGTTGGGCGTCTTGGGCTCGCCGGAGATAGTCGAGTTCTCCCAACCCTCGGCAGCCTTTTCAGCGGCGATCGGGTCAGCGTAAATAGTAGCCATGGACGGTGCCAGAGACATTAGCCGCGAGAGGGCCTTAGAAGTCTGACCCTTGGCGCGGTTCTCCAAAAATCTGCCGAGTGTGACAAATGTAATCAACATCGTGCTAGTGTCGAAAATGGTAGCGGGTCTCGTGTGCGGCGGGAAAAGGAATGACACCAACATGGCCATGATACTGAAAAAGAAGGCGCATGAGGTGCCGAGGATGACGAGAACGTCCATGGTCGGTGATCCATGCTTGATGGATTTCCAACCTGAAATATAGAAACGCTTTCCAATGCCGAATTGGACGGGTATCGTAAGGGCCAAACAGACCAAATCGCCAACGAAGATGCCGGGAAGAAGCTCCCAGCTGCCAAAGTCAAGGCTTGGGAAGCACATGGGTAAAATCATACTGATAAAGAATACGGGTATGGCAAACGACAGAGACAACTTGAAGGCTCTCCGCCACTCGTTAATCTCTCTGGTCTTGGCAAGGGACTCGAGCTGTGCGTTGTTGTCGTCGTTGTCGGACACAAGGGCATTGAGGCCCTCGGCCTCGACAGCCTCGACAATTCCACGCAGGCCGATCAGATTGGCTTGATGCGTAACCGTCAATCTGGAGGTAGCTAAGCTGAGCTTAGCAGAGTTGATACCGGTGATGGTGAGAAGCTTTGCTTCCAGGGCCATGGCGGCCGTGGCATCTGGGTTGCCGTAAATCTTGAATTGGGCGGTGGAGTTTCCTCCTGCACCGTTTGCTGACGTCTCGAAAGCAGTCGACAAAATCTCAGCACCGAAGCCACGGTCCTCGATGATCTCGGCGATCTTCTCCGCTGGGAGCTTTGTTGTATCGTGGGTAATGACGGCGCGCTCAGCCAACAAGCTGATGTTGAAACGCAAAACACCCTCCACCTCCTTGAATCCGCCCTCAACCGCAGATGTACAGGCGCCGCAAGTCATGCCCTCAATTGCGACTGTTGTAGTGGCGACAGAGCTTGTGGGATTGCTGCTGGCTCTGGGCTTTTCTTGTGCGCTTTCGCTGTCTACAATCTCGGCGCCAAAGCCTCGGTCTTCGATGATTTCCGCAATTTTCTCGGCGCTGAGTAGTGTCGGGTCATGCTCAATGACGGCTCTTTCGGACAGCAAGGATATGCTGAAGTTCTTTACGCCTGGTACGTCTTTGAACCCTCCTTCAACAGCTGATGTGCATGCGCCGCACGTCATTCCCTCTATGGCGACGGTTGTCGTCATTAATCCGCTATCCTCCTCAGCATCAAACAGGTCTTGCTTTGTTGGGAACATTGGTGAGGGTAGATCGGTGGAGAGTACTTCGGCGTCGAATCCTCGGTCTTCAATAATCTCGGCGATCTGCTCGGCAGAGATGACTTCGGGATTGTGCATTACTACCGCTCGCTCCATGACCAGGGCGACAGAGACGCTTCCTACACCCTCTACACCTCTGAAGCCCGACTCTACTGCTGAAGTGCATGCGCCACATCTGTTGAAACTGGGTAAGCATATCGAAAAGGGAACACGTCGCAACGGAGCGCAACTCACGTCATGCCGCCGACCTTGAGGGTCGTCGTCGCCCACTGGGTTGCTGTTGGTGTGGCAAGAGTGGCCATAGGACCACTCTCGCTCTTCCTCGGTACTCTAATGGCCGGAGGAGCCATGTTGTCGGTTTGTCTCTGGGAGGTTTGCGCTCAGGAAGCGACCGCGGTGTGAGTATAGGGCCAGCCTCGGTCTTTGGTTATGCTTCGGTTTCGGGACTTTTTCCACAGCTTATCTAGCACCAATCTTTCATGATAGTGCTAGCTGTCCATAGAGAGGTAGGGGAGTCTTTTTTCGGGAGATTATTCGAAGACGGGATCGAAGTCGAGACGAAGCAAGGACTCGAGTTAAAGCTGGAAGAGAGAGACTTTCGGGAAATGCTCCAGAAGACCGGCTTCCGAGTACTATGTACGGATACTGAAAAGGTGGGTATCGTGGTGTTTGAGTGTACGAATCTACGTGTTCGTGTATGCGTACGGAGAGAGTATGTTGGTGCGTAAAAGTAAGCGTACGTACGTGAGTTGAGTAAGGTAGCGCGCAAAGAAGAAGCCGGGTCAAGGTAGGATTAAGAATCAAGGGCCCGGGAGGCTAGAAGAAGAACGGCGGCAATCAATGGCACGATGGGCAGAATGGAAGGCGAGAGAGAGGCTTGGGGGGGACGGAAACGGAAGGTCGGCTTTTGTCAGCCAAAGTTTCGTGGACCGGCAGGAATGGGACTGAAGGTCCGCCGCCCATGGGACTGATGGGAGTGGGAGTGGAAGGAGTGTGGGAATGTCCACACCAGGATGCAATGCAGCGGTAGTAGCAGCGGCCAGTGAAGCAAAGTTACAAACCAGCATCAACACTGCTTGACTGGGGGGGGGGGGAGTACTTCGTAAGTTGTAACAAAAGTAAGGTAAGGCAAGGTATCCGTAAGGTAAGGTAGGTGGGCTGCAGGGCCAGGAGAAGAAGACGGAACAGCGGCGTGTGGGTGCGCGCGGTGTAGCCGGGATCTAAGGTAATCATCTGGCGCAATCGTGGGACTGGCAACCGGGGTGTGTGGGAGGGAAGTGGCCCCAATGGCCCGAAGGGGGTGTGCGCTTGCTACTGCTGCTCCTGCTGCTGGTGCGTCTGACTGCCTGTGTCTGTGTCTCTCTGCCTGTGCTGTGTGTGTGGACACTTGGAACGGAACATTGAACAACTCCTGGGGGCAATTGCGACGCCAACTGCAAAACTGCAACGCTCTCAGCGCCAATTCCAGCCATGACAGAACTGTTTAGTGTTGCCAGATTCCTTATTCCATATTCCAAGACCGACAATGGCTGCATTCGTTTTGGGGGCTCGTGCGGTTGGATTTCTTCTATTGCTTTTTGCAGTTAGGACTCCAGCAACATGACCTTTGCCCCTGCTCTTATCCTGATCTTGGCTTCTGTTAATTGTTTTCCAGTGACGCCTCCTGAACCCCGAGTCTCTTTTTTATGTTGCTCCCGAGCTTCGCCCCTGACTAAGGTCACTGATTACCTCATGGGCTACACCAAAACCGTCACCCGGCGCCGCGAGTCTTCGCATCATTGCCACGAGTCGATCTTGAAGAACGAGACGCACAAGAGAAAGAGTTTCTGTGTACACTGGAAAGAAGGACGGCACATGTACGGATAGAATTGTGTCGACGACGAACCGACGGGCGTGGCCGAAGTGACCAACGAGATTCGCACGGGTGATCCCAGCCGGCACTGCACCTTTCGGTGCTCGGGCGCCACACCTGGCCCGGGGCCCCCCTCTCACTTCTCTCCTTCCATCTCCTTTTGACCACTTTGCGCCCTTGGTCTATTTCTGGGCCAAAAAGAGATCAGTGGGGGGATCGCGAGAACCTCGCACTAACCTCGACTCGTCCAGATCAACCAATATCTATCCGCTCCTTGTCTGGCGCACCGCCCATCTACGCAGTACCAATCTGTCAGATGTCACATCGCTCACAGGTTCATTTACTGCCCATCATCCACGAGGACTTGAAGACCTCTTCTTTGCGGATAGGTGTACGACTATGGATACCATTCCTTGACCGGTGAGACATCGAGTCAGGGCTAGGTCCGGCTGTGCATTTTCTACAGGAAGACTATTCATGGCACTTCCTGGGGGTAGCACGTAAGACTGACTGGGCTGACTGGCTTCAACTGACTGGACTTGGGTAAGCTGAGCTGATGGGTGCCAGAACTCATTGCCACGCTCCGTCGCTCACTACAACCTTCGTATCTATCGGTACACACAGACACACCCCTCGCTTTTCCTCGTCCGGGGTCGAGGGAGCGCCTGCGCGAGGAACGGAACACGACGACGCACCTGAGCCCTGAGCTTGGCTAACGAAACATTCGGGGGGCACGGTCACTTGAGGCAGTTTTTTAGGGTCCAAGGGGACTCCTGGATTCGGATTGAGCTTCAGCCTCAGACCAGCCTAGCATTCTGGGTGACTGGCTCGCCAGAAACCAGTCCATCCTAACTCTCCATTGGACGGTTTAGATCCGGCGCGTCTCGGAGTGGGAATTGTGGGCGCTATGCTTCATGCTCCTGAGAGCCGTGTTCCGTGTCTCTTGAACTGAACACATGAGAATTGCAAATCAACAAGACTGAACAGCGATGACGGCGGCATCTGATTGATTCGTGGCTCTGATCTTTATTCCTATGGACTGATCTTCGTCAGACTCAATCTGTACGCAAGTCTGTGTCTTTCGATTTCACATTGTACTCGTTATCGGTCTGTCATTCCTAAGACCCGACTTCCACCATGACTTTATTTTGAGTTTCCGACGGACCGACCAAACAATTCTGTCAACTTCTTTTTTCTAGACCGCCGGCAACAAACCTTGATACACATCCTGATGTCAACAACGAGGAAAAAAAGTCCAGTCTGATATCGATAACGTACGATGCAGGCTTCTGAAGAGAGGGGTTACGACGCTGATTCGACTTACTACCTGTGCCAAGCTGCAACGTAAGCTGCATAACCCATCATCCATATCTGCAATGTATTCGATATCCTTCAAAACCACCCGAATATGGAAGGTAAAATGGCATGCAACAGTATTGCAGCAAGAGTGAAAGAATGATGGCATGTGGCTGCGGATGCCAATTGATCTTCGGGAGATTTTCGTAAAGAAACCCAGTTCCTTGTAAGATCATATCGCCAAGCTCCGGCTCCAACTTCCCACGGTTGCTTCTCGAAGCCGTTTTGGCTTCAGACCAATTCATGAGGAAACGATCATTGCCAGTCTCGCCATGGCTCCTGGTCAACGGTATGGAGACAAAGAGACCAGTTATCTGCCACGCTCCTTTCTTGTCCAACCTGAAGTGAGACCACTGGACGGAATGCAGAAGAGCTTCCATTCCAATTCCCGTCAGCGGCCCGGCTGGTATGCCCCATCCGGCCTCGACTTAAGGTGCGCCTCGAAAATGCTTGCCTTAGGTAAGGTTACTGAGGTTAACTAACACGTTAGGTTAGGTAAGATACCTGGGCTTACTCCGTAAGATGTGTCGACCCCACCAGCACCCTGCCAGGTGCCCCCGAACACACTTTGCCCCGCGCCACTAAGGCACCCGACCTCTGTGGCAGCGTCCCCATTCGCTCTTGCAGCGGCCCTGTCTGGACGGGCACCTCAAACGAATCTGACACAAGCTTCGTCCTCAGAACGATCTCCAAAGGAAACACACCACAAACGAACCAAACCCCCTTCGCTTCCTCACACCCTTACGATTTGCCAACCTCTGACGACACGACAGAGAGGTACGGTAGCATCCTCCGAAAGCGACCTTCCTTCTCAGCCTCGTCTCGTCCGATCCCCAGCGAGTTGGACCAACCTACCTTCAGCCTCGTCAACCCAACCCCACATTGTGCTATTGCAGGTAGTGACGACAGCTACTCCTACAGCAGTAGTACCCCACCTCGGAGCTTCGTGAACATCACAGACGAGCAGCTCTCACGATGGAGCAGACCAAAGCTCTCAATGCTCTCGAGGTAAGCCGCCCAAAACAAAACCACACATTCTGCTCATCTACGGACGCAAATGCTAACAACCTCCCAACAACAGCCCTTCCTGGCCCTGAGCAAGTCAGCAACATCCCCCCGCGCCGCAGCCGACCTCGTCACCCGCGCAACATCAAATCCAAACACCTTCCTCTTCACAGAGCTCCTCGAGACCCCGCAAATCCAAGCCCTCGCCCAGTCCCCCGACTTCGAACCGCACCTCCGCCTCCTCGAGCTCTTCTCCCACGGCACCTACGCCACCTACCAATCTGCCTCGGCATCGGGTCTCCCCCAGCTCAACGATGCCCAAACCCTCAAACTCCGCCAGCTCTCCCTCCTGACCCTGGCCCGCGACCGCTCGAACCTGACCTACGCAGCCCTCCAGTCCGCCCTCGGCCTCCCCTCCACCCGCGCTCTGGAAGACCTCGTCATCTCCGCAATCTACGCCGGCCTCCTCGACGCAACCCTCGACCCTCACCGCCAAATCGTCCAGGTCAACTCCCTCGCCGCCCTCCGCGACCTCGCCCCGGGAGCCGTCCCGCCCATGATCGCCGCCCTCCGCGCCTGGTCCAGCCGCTGCGAATCCACCCTCGGCGACCTCGAGTCCCAGATTGCAAGCATCCGCGACGCCGCCGCCCGCCGCCAGCGCGAAAAGGCCGCGCAGGACGCCCGTCTGGCCAAGCTCGTCGAGGACGTCAAGAAGGATCCCGAGACGGGGGGCGCCGGTGGTGCGGGAGGCAGGAAGCTCGCTGTCGGTCACGCACAGCACGGCGGCAGCAGTAGTGGGGAGAGGGTAGGCGGCTTCTTGGGCCACACGTCTAGGGCGCAGCGGTACAACAAGCGGGGCAGCACCAGCATGATGGACAACACGGAGGAGATTGACGACGAGGCCATGGACGTGGACGAGGAGGATGATGAGCAGGAGAAGAAGCGTGCTAGCCGACGGAAGCTTTAGTGGATTAGTTGGTGGATGGGAAAGCTGGAGATGTAGAGGGTACTTCCAGTCTCGTCTCGGGGACACTTCTCCCGGAGTTACACTCGGGGGACCAGCGGCCAGGGACCTCGTTGGAGGCTCGGTGGCGCTTGATAGACGGTCAGGACGCGGCATAAGATATGCTGAAGGGGAAACAGCCGAAAAGTAGCACAGGCATTATCACGATACATTATGAGAACTCAATAAATACAGTCAAGATCGAATTCGATAATACTGACAGAGATTAATCTCCACCGTTTCCTGTTCTGTGATGCCTATCTAGCGTGCCATTGATAAAATTTAAGGGAATGTAGAAAGTGAATGAATGTGTCGAAGCCAAAAGTCTCCTGTCGCCTCTCCTCTGCCTCTTCCTCTGCCGCCTTGCAGTTTTACCTGCCTTCGGTGGCGAGGATTCCAGTGTCGATTCTCGCAATGTCGATAATGATACACCAATGCCTTGTGTACATTGAAAAGAAATTAAATCTGTCCCTTGTTCAACGCCGTGTGCGAGGTTATGTTCCCTTGGGGGCCTCGACTGTCCCTACGCCGTGCCTCTCTGGTATCCTGAATGGAAGACCGAATCAAAACCGAAAATTTGGGAAACTCTGTCGCTCAAAATCTTGGGGGTCGTAACGTTCGTAAAAGCTCTCACTGTGGGAGACAAAGCGTCCATATTATTACATCCGTGATGTAGACTGAGGCCGCATTGTTGTTGTGTTTGGGGTATTGCAACACATCCTTTGTTTGTTGTCCAGGATAAAACAAGGTATTTTACAACCGTTTGCCGGGGACAAGGATGAAAAGCACACAGAGCGCGGCGTCGATTAAAATTGTGACGGCGAGGACCATGATAGACCGCTTAGCAAGGAGCTTACGAACGTAGGGCTCACGAATTCGAGAGAAGTTGAACGGCGTGTACTCGCTGAGGCCGATGAGAGCGAGGACAGGATCCAGAGAGTACTGGTATGATGCGAGGAAGTAGACGCCAACAGTGAATGGAAGGATAAGCTGAAAGATAGGTTAGCAGGCGAAATTCAGATATGAGATCATGCATAGACTCACCCAGCATCTGGTAGTTCGAGGGGAATTGAGGAAGATGAGAATAAAAGCAGCCCAGAAGCCACCAAACATGGCCAAAAGACCAACAATCATTCTGATCTGGAGAGTGGTCGGAATGAGGTTGCCAAGGGCCTTCATTCTCAAGAAGTTGGGGAAGGCATCGCGTTCCATAGCCTGAAAGACGTAGTCCTTGGCAACGTCAAACACCTCTGGATCGTCTCTACCAAAGTCCTCAATGGAAGTCGTGACGTCCTGAGTAATGGAGCCCGGAAGAATGATTTCACGCTCTGCGCCCGGAAGGAGGAAGGTGTAGAGGATCTTCTCCGCCGAAGCCCGGATATCCTGTCTCGCGACGGTGTGTGCGGGAGAGTTGGAATCTGTCGTCAGGTCGCGCGGAGTGCTGAACGCCCCACTGGGACGGCTGCGATGCTCTCCAGTGCTGCTTTGAGGGGAGTCTTGGGCCTCTTCTCTCAGGTAGGCCGACATCTGTGCATCCTGGTTCTTCTCCTTCTCAGTGGCATACATTGATGGGCCGGCGGCGGAATGGCTCATGTCACCAAGTCCATCCAAGATCTGAGAAGACCGCTTGGAGCCCGACTTATCCAAGTCAGGTGTTCCAACTAGGACGGATCTGCGGAGTTCGCGCACATAGTGGCGGCACAAGGACATGTGCTGAGCAACATCGAGCCTATCCTTCGTTAGTGAACAGACGCGTGATTCTGGGATGCCATTTGCAAATACCAGAAATCGAGATAATCGACGGATTTTTGCTGATCTCTCATGAAAATGTAGAACGAGAAGAGGTCGACGGGCGGCAGGGTTCGACGACTCAAGACCTCAAACAGAGTCGGCAATCGGTTCCGGTGCAGGTCTGGCTGAGGAGATGGCGAGCCGGAGGCCCCAGTTGATCGGTCCTCCATGATATCGAGCGGGTTGGATTCGCGAGAAGAATCGAGAAACGAAATCGGAATTATGTAGTGATTGATGAAGAGAAGTCGGACGAGAAGGAAACGGCGGCCGACAGAGTCGCTGTCGTCGGGTGGTGCGAAATCGAAGTTTGGTCGTCGGAGAGGCGCGGTACGGATATCGTAGATGAGGTTTGGCAGGTGCACTCCGCAAAGGTTCGGTCGTAGCGCGGCTGTCTACTCGTCGGTTGCTAGGCTTCCCCCAGGTCGGTTTGTGTACTGAACGAGCGTAAGAAGGGAAGGATCGCGCACGGCGCAAACTGACAGCGTCAGTGTGATTGACGATGGCGCTGCAAGGCGTGATGGCTTGAGTCTTGGATGCCGTTGGGATACGGCATAACAGCAGATCAAGCAAGCACTCAGACCCAGACACTAATTTCGTTCAGGTTGTCTGGTCAGGGGGGATACGACCCACCTCTACGTACTTTCCTCCGAAAAAGCGCGCTTTCCCACTGTCAATGTGGTCCCACCCACACACGAGTCCACTTCACTGCAGCGCCTTAGCTTCTCAGGCACTCAGACGCTTTCTTGAGCAACGTCACGTGCCCCCTCTCGAGAAAAGAGGGACAGGTGGAAAGAAAACGCCGCATTACCTCAGCTACCCAGCCACAAGCACAGGCCCCGCCTCAGCCACGGAAAAGCAGGTAGGGCTTGCAATTTCTCGCTTCACATTTTGTGGGATGACCTGCCGGACTACGCAAAACCATCACATCGACAACTTCTTAGACAATTCGACTCCGCGATCCCGACGACCGAACCGCCCAACGAGAGGTACCGCCAAAATGTCGACCAAGCAGAAGAAGCCCGCCGGAAAGCAGCGTTCCGCCATCGCTGATGTCGTCGCTCGCGAGTACACCGTCCACATGCACAAGCGCGTTAGTATTCCCCCGAGGAGAGAAAAAAAAGGACGCCGCCGTCGACAGCGAATTCAATGGCCCACGATGGCGATCCGGTAGCATAGCATAGCAATGCTGACAATTTTTGCTCTGTAGCTTCACGGCGTTTCCTTCAAGAAGCGCGCTCCCCGTGCCATCAAGGAGATCAAGGCTTTCGCTCTCCAGGCCATGGTACGTCTTGCTTGTCCCTCTCGAACCCATCCCGAAATTTTGCATCAAGACCCAACAACACCAATCGACCCCATACCGAACCACACTACATGTATAGACACCATAAGAATGCTCACTAACCTCGTGATTCGTATAGGGTACCTCCGACGTCCGCGTTGACCCCCAGCTGAACAAGAAGGTTTGGGAGCAGGGCATCAAGGGCGTTCCCTACAGACTCCGCATCCGCATCTCCCGCAGACGAAACGACGAGGAGGGTGCCAAGGAGAAGCTGTACAGCTACGTCCAGGCCGTCAACGTCAAGAACCCCAAGGGTCTCCAGACTGTTGTCGTTGAGGAGTAAAAAGTTCTCTTTGGGATGGTTTCAGGGCGGCATAAAGGCATCGGAGTTGCATTCGGCATTCTAGTCTCACATACAAAATCGACGGAAATGTGAACAACGCTTGATTCCCCACACGACTTCGACGACTTTTTACTAGTATTGGACCCCGCGATGTGGTGGAATGTTATTTTTTGTCTGCGCCAAAGTGCGCGCGAAGGAAGCGTTGCGTATGTGTCAGGCAATGGTGAACGATGACGAAGGCTTTTTGGGACATCATCAATCTCTTGTGGTTCTTGTAACACACATCGTCCAACAGGGTCTTCTTTTTTTATCGTCTTGGTCGCGGTCTGCCAGAAGCAGATGAACAGGATATACCCAATCCTGAAGGCCAAGTCCCGACCATGCAATGCAGTCCAATTCCTAACAAAAAGAGTTCCAAAACAACCGGCCCGTAATCATACATGATAGACTCCAATTCTCCAGTGCTCGAAACAATGTTTTCTCATCCTCGTGTCATCCACAAGCAAGCCCGCGCTCACTCGTCCTCAACATCGCGGTGACGAGCGAGGACCTTACGCTTGAACTCTTCGGGGTCCTTGTCCCACAACTCTGCGGCCTCGCCGTTGAGAGGAGAAGCGCTGACTCCATATTAGCATTGGCAAACGAACCACTTTTTGCCGGGGCAACTCACTTGTTTGGCTCGCCCAGCAGACTCTGCAAACTGAGGAGTACAGTTTGAATGTTATAGGCGGGTGTCCACTTGTCCTTGAGGATATCCAAGCAGATGCGGCCAGAGAAGTCGAAGTTGGGGTGGTAGATAGGCGTCGTGAAGAGCACCGTTGGCGCAGCGTAGGGGTAGTTGTTGGGGAACGACAAGCTGAGCTTGAGCGTCAGGCCGGCGTAGGGAGTCTGTTCGGGTCCCTCAATCGTCGCCGTCCACGACATGAGGTTGCCGTCTGCCGAAGGGAATGCTGAGACGCCGGGAGCGGGAGAAGTCATAAGCTGCATCAATTCCGTCTGCAATCTGTAGTCATGAAATTAGTCCGTCTGGTCGTAGATGAGACGGCAACGTCTTGCAACGAGATATTCATACCTCTTGGTGACGCTCTGAGCATCAGGTCCCTTCCTGGCGCCAGCAATCTTAGCTGCTGGAACGCTTCCGGGAGCGGAGTTCTGGGTGTCCTCCATGCTGTAGTCCATTATCGCAAATGTCGTGAGATGGAAAGAAGCAATCGCAAAGAGCACTGGTCGAGGCGAAGGGGGCGTCTTGAGGCTGGGAGGCTGGGATGAGAACTGGGATGAAGCAGGGAGGTGTTTGCTAAGGCAAGGTGATATCCGGCCAGCCAGTACTTATGTGCAGGGGAATGCAATGTGCGGGAAGATGACCAAGGGGAGAGGTTGGAAGCTTGCAGCGTCAAGAACAACAGAAGGCAACTGTTCTGTAGGGCGAGAAGGGCAGGGATGGGGAATCGGAGACGCTGGTACCTGGGCGACGCGCTGACTTTGGCACCCGCCTTTGGACTAGCGTCGTCGCTGCCGTAACCAAAGTCAACGGCGAGTACGAACCAACGACCTCACCTTACATCTTAATTCGAGCCTTAATCGCACCTTCTTTACCCCGATTTCTACACGTTCAATGGGTCAATAATTTCTTCTGAATCAAGCATGACTTATGAAAGGTTTTTATTTTCTAAGAGCGGATTGAACATACGTTTTCAATTGAGTATGTACTTTGCGATTGGCCGTCTGTGATTTACGGAATCACTGGTCACCTTGTGATACCTAGTGACTTAGGCAGAGGCCACGGTGCTGCAGTTTGAGGGAATTCGCTATTTCAGCCCTGCGTAGTTGGGCATTTATTCCACCGAGCAATGAATGTGTCCAATCAAAGGAAAGCATCGTACCCTTATACACAAGTTTCCAGCAAATGATATATTTGATTATCAGCTACTAGGAACGCCTGAACTGCAAAGTTGCAGTACAGAGCCTTTACTTTGTGTCAATAGGTAGAATGTCTTCCTTCAGTGGCTTGGTTTTGGGTAGGTACTTAATGGTCATGCCCTTCCTTTCTTGGCATCAAGTTCAGGTCCTCGTGAGCATCGATACCACGTTAAAAGATCAAAATTACCCCTATTCATATCTGCTCTGCAGGCTCAAGTATAAGTGATATCGAAGCTGGCATATATACCACATTTTGAGGAGATGAACTTAAATTGAGTTTAATGTCAACGATCATTTCTTCTTTACGTAGGTATGCAATGTGCTCACCTGTTAAGCAATAGTTCTAAAGCACCCATAATACAAGCAGTGTTAAATAAGTCTGGTCTATGGAACCTCTCGCTTTTTGCAGCATATTCACTTCAGAATAAAGTGCTTTAGCATTGTACAAAGCAGTGAAGGAAGCCACGCTCCTTCCTACTTTTCGACTCCCCCCCCCCCCCTTTTTTTTTCCATCTCTTCTCAGGCCTTCTTGCCCTTACACCTTCCAAACTTATCTCACCTCAGCTTCACAAGTCTGGGAATCCGACATTATTTTCCGCACCATCATTCTTAATCGGTAATATTCAGCTTTTCCGACAATCTGAGAAGATGGATGAGGAAGATCTGATCGAGTTCGATCCTGAACCGATTGAGGAGATGAAACACCTTTGCTTATGGGAAGGCTGCGTTTGTAAACGTAAACGTGATAGCGTCCAGAAAGATGGCGTAACTACGTAAGTCACACCTTCCTATTACCTCTGGCGGAAATTCACTGAGAAATTAACTCAATCAAGACTTCTTAGTGCCACAAACTCCTCATCCGAGCACCAGGCCATCGCCTCGACCCCTTCATTGAACAACACTCAGCCCGATGTGCAGACAACTCACAATACGACCAGCCCCAACGGAGGACAGGTCGTTCTGCCCAAGAAAGCAGCCGAGAAGAAAGAAGTTGCCACAACAAAGCAATACAAGCGAGACCCGACCGTTTGCTTGGTCGGATTCCATAACCACTATTTGTGGGAAACGCTTTATGAAGCAGGTCATCGTTGTGATGTCTGCAAGAGGATGCAAACCAAGCACATCCATACCTGCCCCAGATGCCCTTTCAAGATATGCTGGGCCTGTCGATGTGACTATGGACTGACCAACAAGACGGCCAAGTAAGTGTAATGACATGTTTATGTAGTTACTATTCTAACATTCTGCAGGGAATTGCGCCGCCGACGTAACCGAGTCTAGGCAGGCGTTTTGATGCGGCTAAGTGATCAACTGAGGCTGAGGCAGGAGCACTGTTCTTTCATTACGCGAAAATTCTGTTCTAAAGAACAGAGAGAATAGTTCTACTGATTCGCACAAATTGACCAGCCGCCGCATCCGATTGCTGAACTCTTGTACGAGAGCTTGGGGCTCCAGTTGCTTGCAGTTTAATTTCTTGGCGGAGATGGAAAGGGGAGAGAGACTGAGGGGTTTCCAGGCCTTAGATTGGCGAATACAATAATCAGATCGCAATTCATTTTCTAGACCTGTTATCATTGAGGTGCTAGTGATCACCTTACAAGGTGACTTGATAGCTTATTGGTCTTGCTGGGAGGTTAGTTTTGGCCGCAAAAGCGGCGACACTATAGTGCAGGGATCCTGCTGCTTTGGAGGGGTGTGTTGGAGCAGTGGCGGCGGACTGTTTACCTGACCAACACTGCAGCAACCGCGATAAGAGGGCTTATCGGCCAATGAATTCGCGTTGATGCAGGCGGCAATAAAACACCTTCCATGACTCCAAACAAAACACGCCAAAAGCTCTTTACGCGGTCAAGACGCGCTCCAAAGTGCCACCGCGGGGGGACAAACGACCCAAGACATACACCTCAATCAACATAGTGAGTTCTTGTTGATGCTGGACCCTTGGACCCTTTGTGCGGAATTCGCCCTACGCTAGCTTGATACGTCATCTATCCATTTCATTTTGCCTGGCATCGTTTGCCTGACAGCACCGTGAATCGATATCCCTACTCGCCATTCCATTTCCCCTGTGCTCGCTCGGTCTCAGTCATGAATTAGTCTGCCGCAGACTCTCTCCCAAAACCATCTGTATTCTCGTCTCACTCAGCAAAGATGCAGCAATCACAGCTGGACCCTCTGCCCAGCGACTTGCCCTTCAGGGTCATCTCAAAGACTATTGGGCGAGGGGCTTATGCATCGTAGGAAATTTACCCCTCAACCTCACGTCCGATGAACCCCGCCACTGACTGTGGGCATCCAGAATCAAGAAAGCTGTTCCTCTGGACGCAAACACGCCCGTCTTCGCTGTCAAATTCATCCACAAGGGTTACGCCGTCAAGCATGGCCGCGTGTCGGCAAAGCAGCTCCTCATGGAGGTGTCACTCCATTCACATGTCGGCCAGCACCCGAACATCATTGAGTGGTTCGCTTCGGGAGAGGACAGCAATTGGCGATGGATTGCCATGGAGTTTGCCGATGGAGGCGACCTCTTCGACAAGATTGAGGCAGACGTGGGCGTTCACGAGAACATTGCTCACCTCTACTTTCTGCAGCTCATCAGCGGCGTGAGCTTTATCCACTCGAAGGGCGTGGCGCACCGAGATCTGAAGCCTGAAAACATTCTGCTATCCGAGACGGGAAGCCTGAAGCTCGCTGACTTTGGCATGTCAACCATGTTCGAGTATAAGGGTCAACGAAAGACGAGTTCCACCCTTTGCGGGAGTCCACCATACATCGCGCCTGAGATCCTCGCGTGCGGCAAGGCAGAGAAGAAGGCATCCCCGGACGCAATCAAGTACTCGCCAGATCTCGTTGACATCTGGTCATGCGGTGTTATTCTCTTCGTACTCTTGGTTGGCAACACGCCCTGGGATGAGCCGTCGAAAGGTAGTTGGGAGTACCAGGAGTACGTGCGAACGAACGGCCGCAGCACAGATGCGCTTTGGGGGAGGATACCGTCAGATACCTTGTCGCTGCTTCGAGGCATGATGAATATTGACCCGAGCAAACGCTTCTCTTTTCGACAGATCCGACAACACCCGTGGTATACCAGGCAAAACCCACATTTGACATCGGACGGCACGATTTCCGACCCGATCAACTTGGCCACGCAGATGCTAGAAAGTCTCAAGATCGATTTCAACCAGCAACCTACAGCCTCCCAAGGCAACCCGTCCAGCAGTGATCCCATGGATATGGATAGCGCCGGCAAGGTCTCCTTCACCCAGCCTGAAACACCCATCAACGACGTCGCGTGGGATTGGGAGCGCCCTGCCCTCAAAGTCATGAACCCCATTGCCGTCTCCTCCACACAACCTCTGACCCGAAGTGTGAGCGGTGTCGCTAACCGGCGCTTGTTCATGGAATCCCTCGCAGAGGAGCCTTCCATCAGCCAGTTCTCGCAGACCCCTGGTGTCCCTCTAACACTTACCCAAGCGGCCCGTCGCTTCCGCGACATCGTGCCGTTCGAGTCCCTCACACGCTTCTTCTCTCACGTGCCGCCCCAGCTCATCGTGCAAATGCTCAGCGACGCCCTGCACCAGCTCAACGTCCCGCTGCCGCCCGTCACGCCGAATTTGTACTCGGACCACATCGTCATCATCAAGGTCAAGACGCTCGACGCGCGTCGACAGTCGCTGCATGGCGAGATCCACGTCGACAAGCACAAGCTGCCCGAGGAGCAGGAGCTGCTGGATATTCGGTTCGTGAAGATTAAGGGAGACCCGCTGGAATGGCGTCGGTTCTTCAAGAAGATTGTCGTTCTCTGCAAGGATGGCGTGTACGTGCCGGATGCATAGGGAGGATGCCGGCTTGGATAGAGTGATGGATTGAAATGATGTTTACGCTGTATAGATGTATAGATAAGACCTGTCACGAATGAAGAAGGGAGAATGATGCCCTTAGTAATGGTACTATGAGTCAATACAATACAACCGCTAAGGGAGGCTGAATGACGGCATCAAAGAAGGAGAAGAAACACCACCTCTTACTCCAAAGGTCCATGGTCCAAAAGGGAATTCATGCGGGGACAGAATAAAGGAATAATGCAACTATGATCTTGAAACACTCCGAAACATACCGGAAGAAAACAACGCAGTTCCTCTATCTGAATTTCAAAGAATCAAAGCAAACCCAAAAAACCAGAAACCTCCATTTCCTTCCGAATGCAAAGTTCGCACCTACCAACTCCGTTTACAAACGCACTAATACTGCCACGCCAGACTGAGCCATACCCATCTGTGGCCTCCTACAAATCATTCATCTCGTCATCTTCATCCTCCTCATATTCCTCACTGTCGTCATAACCGCCATCGTTCTCATCGTCCACGTATTCTGCGTCTGGATCGATTTGCTGTTGAGGGTCAGAATAAACCACGTGGAAGAAGCAATCTCCATTGGGGAGGTCTTCTTTGACGATCCGGATGAGCGTTTTGGGGCTGTCCGATCTCAGAGGAAGATATCCTTTATGTTTGCCTGTCTTCTTATAGGCCTCAATAGCTCTTTGCTCATAGTCGTGATTGACTCTGTCAAAACATGTGCCCTCATCGCATCTATCTTGACCCACGTACTCGAGGGAAGGATGCCATGTTCGAACAGTTTCCATGATCAATCCAAACATCTTCATGAATGTTGGACCATGGCCAGTCAGGCCTGTCGTGTTTAGTAGATTCCTGCTACATTGAGAACGTCGACAAACAAACATTTGTAGGTAGGCATGTACCATCTCATGAATCAGAGACGCGACGTTCTTCTCAAACGAAATGCGATTGACCCTGTTGGTCAGATTCTCGTCGTAACGTATTTTGGGAAAGAGTCGAATTTTGGCAAACCACCTGCCCGCCTCATAAACACGTTCTGTATCTGCAAAACAGGTTTTCCCAAAGTCGTCTCTCAAATGACCAAAGCCTGTGCACAACTCCACGTGCGAGTACCTGGGAATGTTAGTGCCAATTGGCTTGTGGGGGTATCTTGTCAAAGCCCCAAAGAAGAAGAAATCGTCAAGGCGAACCATCATTTGGTGCAACGAGTCTTCGAGTTGACGCGCCAAGGACTCGACTTCCATCCGCGAGTATCGACTTTGCTCGAATGCTTCGAGCTCCTCGTTGGTAAGAGCATACCAGGCTTTAGATACGGCCAGCGCGCCTAGGAAAAGTTGGACAAATTCACATCGAGCCACCTCTTGCTGCGGTCGAAGCTGGTTGCACCAGTAAAAGCTTCTGCAGGTGAGGTTCAACAGAGGTGTCGCAGCATACATCCCGACGAACAGAGGGCGGTAAGGCGGTAAATCCCGGGAAGTCGTAAGTAAGAGAATGTGAGAAGGCTTCGGGAAGGGAGGGTGATGACATTTTTCCACCTCCTGATACTGGGGAGCTATGTTCTGGGACTCTTCTCTGACAGGGTTTCGGGTTCCCTGATCAACTGGCATCGAATATTCCATGGTGCTGAGTTGCGAGTTGCTGTTGTCTACTTATGTGTTTACGGTACACGAGTCACAAATCTGATGAGTTGACGATGAGTTGCTGGTGAGTTGCTGGTGAGTTGCTGGTGAGTTGCTGATGAAGGAGTGGCTCGAAGTTGTCATTGTGCTCGTCTTTTGTATAACATCGTAGCGACTATTGGATTCTGCAATAGATAACGCCCGACTTCTTCATCGTTCTAGTTCATCAAAAAGAGAAAAGAAAAAATTGAGAAGAGATTCATGGCCTTGAACTCGGGACCTCGAAGGAGCCCAGGTCTGAAGCTTGATTGTGACATCAAACGGTACGCCAGACCACACTCAACTCGGCTTTCATGTTTTTGTTCTGGGAAGAAATTCGAAAGTGTCATAAGTGATATAGTAGTCTATCCTGGTTCTCAAACTCGTCCTCTTGGGCTTCGTCCCCACTCGAGATGCCGCTTCTTAGTGCATTCACATTCTCATCTGATTTGAAGATTCCTGCTCAGACCACCTTGTAACTTGGTTTTCTTCGTAGATAGAAATTTCCTTATGACGAGCAAGCTGAAGTGCGCAGTGCAGAGAAGGTCAGGAGTAACAGGACAACTAGGAAACAGACAAGAAGAGACCAGAGCAAGTCTTTGGCTTTTCTTTGAACACAATGCCGTTTGAGACGGAGTGCCGTTTCGCTCTGCTTTGTCTTCTACATGAAGTTTATTGGCTTCGAAATTTGTCAGCAGATCAAAACTTATAGGCAAAGAAAGGACTTAGACGACTTCAGAGTAAAGCAAGCCACTTAAAGAATCATACCTAGTAAAGCTTTGCAATGGCCTCTGACGTAACCGGTTTTCGAGACTAATTAAGATCCTCGGAAGCCCCCCCATGCCGGTTACACAACTCAACAAACAAGCTGGGGGTTAATTATCGGGGGCCCGGCAACTCAACATTTTGCAAGATTACAAGCAAACACACCTGATTCAAGTATCGGTGTGCCTTTAATTCGCCAAACTCGAAGTTTGCTCCATGGATGACTGGGACTGCTGATCTAGAATTGTTCCAGAACATGGCCATGTCCGAAAAGAGCATCCCGTACGGAGTACTCGTATCAAAAATGCATATAAGTCTGGGAGAATGGGGTTTTGTCACGTTGTGCCGTCGTTTCCAGAGGGTTACAACTATTACGTGGGATGCGTGGTGATCCCCCCTTTCCCAAATGATCATACTTAATTACCCTGCACAATAAGTTTGCTGGGTCCAAAGGGGGTAAGGTAGTGAGAGCTCCGCAACCCCCGGGTCCCGTGGCGAGGGAGCGGCTCTTCCCGCAAACTCTGTCGGTCCATCGGACAAAACCCTAGATTAAAAAAAAGGGAGGCTTTTCCTCTTTTTGATTTTCTTCGATGATGTGCATAATGATACAGGTAGCATCGCCAAAATTTCCTGGAGAAGGGAGACAACAAAAAGGGCGCTTCAGGTCTCCATTGTGGTGACGTTTGATGAGTGATATATTATCGGCGCGGGTATCGAACGAAGCCTTGCAAGGAAAATGACGAGTCACATGAGTCAAATACCAATTGCCGGAAAATCCTCTTTCTTTTTGATCTGGTGATGCCCAGCACAAACCCATTTTTTCTCCTTTTTTGGTAATGCAAAAAGAGTAAGAGACCTTGTCGACTTGGCGAAAGCCACGCTCTTTAGTCCGGTATCCGACTCGTGAATTTTCTGGGATGATTGGCCAGGACCCTTGCACAAGCGCATAACTAAACCGAACCGGAGCTGGCTGACAAGTGGTTCGGAGGGGAGGGGGGGTTTTTCGCTTGGGCAACCGCAAAAGGGGGGTGTGGTCGATCACCAAAGCTGGAAGTTTGTGTGGTCTTTTTCAGGGGATCGAATCCTTCTTACGACAGTACACTAATCCTCGTATGAGAGGCGCACTAACGAAATTATGTACAGATCAAGAAAGCAAACACACAATGGACAAAAGTTTCCTGAGCAAGATGGAGGAGGTGTAGTGTTCATTAATTGAGTTTGTGAGTTGTACGGATACATTTGTTGAAAATCATAAAAAAGAACAAAAAAAGGACAAGCTCTTTTTCGCTCTCTCTCGTAAATAGTACAAAACTTTCTCGCTCGGCACTACAGATATCCGATAACCTAAGATTGCAAATGCTACGTTCAGTCGCTCAGCGTGCTCATCCATGCAGTCGATAAAAACAAAACAGCCACACCAACGACAAGACAGATCGATAGTCAAACCTTCGTACCAAAGAAATAGAAACAAAACCGAACAATAAATAATCAGAATGCCTCCCAGTAGGTATCTCATGCTGCTTCCAAATCGCAACAACATCAAATCGTAAACAGTGTGTGTGGTTGTGTAAGTCACAAAAGGGGAAGAAGGGCAAAGCTTGCGAAGCTTCATGCCTTCACCTTTTCATGACCGCCAAAGATCTCCGCCATGAGATGTTCGTACGGAGCCAGAGGATGCTCCTCGGCCAAGTCCATATCAGCCATCTTGTACCGTGGGTTCGATGTGTGCATGGCGTGGAAGCCTCGGGCGCACTCCTGCATAGACTGCTCGTACGTGCCCCTCCCCTTGAGGATGGCGGAGGCTCTGTTGGCGGCATCTACCGTGTCGGTGGCGACATCTTCGAGGACTGCGAAGACATCCTTGCCGGTTGCCATACGGCGGTTGTGAATATAATTCCTGGTCTCGCCGCCAAGTTCCTCCTTGTAGAAGCTGATAAAAAGGCACGCGGTCAGACATACGTCGATGGATGAAGAAAAAGCAAACATACACTAAAAAGTGTCCGTGTGTTATAGATATTGGCGGGGGGGGGGGGTGAATGACTTACGAGAAAACGTCGTTCGAAATGTCGATCACCCTGGCCATGTCAGGAATGGCCTCCAGGTATTGACTCACGTCCGGGTATTGGGCTTTGGGGAAGCAGAAGACGGCGTACGCCACGTTTATGCCAGCCAGGTCGCGCAGGAAGTCGGGGAACTTGATCCCGGCGCCCCGCGTGGTCTTCATGTTCTGGAAGCCATCGTGACGCTCGAGCAGGTTGCAAGTCATGAATTTGAGAGCCGAGATTTGCAACAGGCTGGCCATGACGGGGTCAAAAATGTCAGGAGCCTGACGCAGCAGGCCCGCCAGCCCTTCGAGCATGGCGTTGGGCTGGGTCTCGCCGTTGAGGAAGCGCCGCTGGAAGTGCTGGGCCTCGTCCATGCCGCCTTCATTCTGGCCCACGATGTCGTCGTACTGAACGACGAGCCAGGTGAAGAGCCCAACATAACCCTGTACCTCTATCGGGTGACGGGGATGGCACATCTGTTACGGGTGTTCCGTCAGCACGCTACTTATCACAATCACATTTTAATCCATGGAGAATACCAAAATAAAAACGAGGTATTATTCAAACGTCAAAACGTGGCTTTAGGGTAGCATGAATGGTAAGGAGGTGGGATACATACCGCAGCTAGTGAGAAGCCCAAGCGGAACCCCTTCTGGGACAGAGGGGTATCGAGTGGCCATCCGATCTCGACGGCTCTCTTGTGCATATATTTCAGCAGCGCTTCGACGGACTCGCGCTTGACCCGTGGGACGCCAGGGTACTTGAGGTCCTCGAGCATCTGTTTGCAAATGGGCTTGCAGAGGGCAGCCAGCCGCTTGGGCTCCTTTGCCAGGTCATCTTCGAGGCGGATTCGCTTCGGGGCGCACATTCCCCACACGGAGCTGAGCATCCGGAGCCACGGCTGGGCAACCGAAACAGCGGCGCTGTTGATTCCTCCAGGGCTGAGACCGGGAGGGCTGACCATAATCTTGGGCGAGGTGGACATTAAGGGCAACAAGTGAGAGCTCAAGAGGAGCGAGCTCTAGAGGAAGGGCGGTGGGTTAGTAAGGGCGGTTAATACTGGATATGAATTGTCGGTGTAGGTAGAGTTTAGTCTAGAAGAAGCACAGACAAGAAGCTAATGACCATATCCATGAAACCTCTTGACGGGGGAGACCTGGGCTTTTTATTCCTAACATGGGCTCGAGATGCTCCCATGGACAGGGAGGTCGATATGAAAGGCATGTGGGTGGCAGGGCATCGAGAGGTTTCCGTTTCGAGCGAGGTGCCGGGGCGAAGGAGAAGGAGGAGGCATTCGGCGGTCCAGGTTTGGCTACGGCGGCAATGGTGAGGTGGTGAGCGAGGCAACGATCTGGAAGAGGTAAGGAATAGTGGCATCAGGGCAAAGTGAGAGAAAATACGGTGCGATTTGATACCTCGATCGCCAGCCATCGCTCCCTCATCCCTAGGTCAAACCAAACCGTTTGACGGTTCGCCGTTGGCTCGTGTGGCATGTGGAGAGGGTTAAGAGCAGAGTGGGCTTAGTCCCAGTTGCTAGTTCAACAACGCTGCAGGTTTGTCCTTCGTTGTTGGAGGTACACTACTTTCGTGTACACACGCTACAATGTGCATTGGTACCGCGGTCTAGCCGGGGCCCCTAGGGAGGACATTACCCAGGCTGGACCGGGTTGACAAGTTGTTAGTGGAGAATGGGCAAGCATTCCCAAGGATCGTGGCCATGCAATGCAGCAAGAGAAAGATGGTGGTGGTGGTGTACAAAGTTTGTGCGAGAGTGGACGGAGGAAGGTCCGTGACGGAGACCAACCACGCAGTAGGCGATGGATCATGGTGCCAGGAGATATCAAGTGAACTAAGGTCGAGTGCCGATACGCAGTCTCGGGTACAGACTACACTACAGAGTCCAGACTTGAGGTCACAAGAGTGGTGTGCTGTCATGGTGCTGGATGTAAGGGATTGTGTGGGTGAGGTAGTGTGCTCCGTAGGCGACTCCGTGGAGGGGGGTTTGATTGTGAGATCATCCCGAAACCGCATCAACTCCCGGATCGCATCATGTACCATGGATGTGAAGCTGTTGACGGCCAGGTTTCCCCAAGTGTGCCTAAAATGGGTGTATTCCCGGGTTGACGATATATGTGCAGCGTAGTAAGACCGCAAGAGAGGTGGCTTAGGGCAGTGTCAAAGACGGGAAGCATGGCATATTTTCGGAGGGGGAGTTGCGAAGTTGCGGCGTGCGGTGCGGCGATGACGACGCACGTGAGTTTGTAGTCAGCAAGGAACATGGTAGCCCCGAGTCAGGAGATGGTGGGACGGCAGGAACGGGTCCCAGAAAAAGAGAAGATAAAAGAGGAGCCCACCCAAGAGCGCAAGAGCCGTCCGCGTCTGTCAGGGCCTGTGTTACTCCGTACCTGCCATCCCATGCACGCAGGTCGCAAGAAGGAAGTGGGGGTCATCTGGGGTCGTGCGAACATTGGCTTCCCAAACATGACATGATCATCTCCAAATTGCTCCTCCATACACTCCGTACCCAGCACACAAACCTAGCATTCAACCCAGTACGGAGTGCCTACCTTACTGTCAGGACGGGTCCAATTGTGCCCGCCAACGGTTGCCAAGTGGAAAAGGGGCTCTCCTACTGTGTACGAACCGCTTGCCTATCCTTACACAGTATCCGTACAGGCTACCCATAGGTAATCGTAATCCATCCATGAAATCCATCCCATCAGAGCCGTAATGCGGTAGCCGTAAAGGACCAAGTAGGTGGCTGCGGGCCATGCCTTGGAGCCATGCCGTGGCTTCGTGCCTTGGTGCTGGGGTGGGCGGGGTGGCACGCTGCACTCACAGACTCTCCCAAACCCAGAGCAGTAAAGCTCCAATACACACAAAGATGGCTGCCGCTTTCGCTAGGTGTTCCGTCCCATTCCCTCTGGTCCCGTCTCAGCTTCGGCGTTCCGTGAGCCGTACGGGTCTGGAACTGTGGACAGTTACGGCGTAGTTGCTTGTTCACTTGGTGACTATGTGGCTGTTGCGGCCGTTGTATGGAATCATTCGAATCAGACGAACACGCGCACGAACACGCGAATTGCCGGATGGCGGAGGGGCGCAGATTCACCATTCGGAGGGGGTCTCAGTCGGAGGAGGGAGATTGCGTTTGCAGAATGGTCGAGGCATCGGAGCGAGAAACCTGGAAAAACCTTGCTTTGGCTTTTAGATCGCCGAACATTTGAATTACCATGGATGGTCCATGACCTATTTTTCTGCCCACTCGATGCTCTGGGTCTGGTTGTCCTACCTTACCAAGCGTGCAAGCCTGCCACCACCTTGCTTACTCCGTACGTTACGCGAACTTGCGGCTTTGCGTGCGTGTCGTGTCCTGACGAAAGTGTTCCGTTGCCCTCCACAGGTAAATGGGAAATCCACAAGGTCTTCTTGGTACGTTGGGTCTCTGCACAAATGCAGCAGAGAAGTGGCCGTTTTCAGCCGTCGCCTTCTCCACCGGGTCCATGCCGGGTCATAGGGTACGTAGCAGGCAGCCAAAGCCAGAACCAGGCAAGCAACGCCAAGCAAGGGTTCTTTCCCTTTTGCTGCCGTCTACTGCACAGTACGTATGTGCTCTTTGCTCAACTCACCACAAAGTTCAACTTCGCGTGCTGGTTGCGTGGTGCATCTGTCATCCAGCTTCATTGTTCCCCGTCCACCATCTCGTCAAATTGTGTCACTATTCAAAGCAATGACCGAACCGATAGACCAGCCGCTCGCCACGCTGCTGTCAGTACGAGTGCCGTGCCGCTCTCCTTGGAAATGTTCCCGAATGTCTCTGATGGCGACCACCACACGCATCCACGCTCCACCACGACCACCAGTCCACAAGCACACAACCACGCATCAAGACTTAGTTACGACACACACCCCCTCCCTCTTCCCCTTGAACCTTGAACCTTCCCACCTGCGACCCCTGGATAGCGTGAGCCCGTCTCCTTCTGAAGGAGGGGGAAGCTAGCCGTATCCCGTCGAACTTCGTCGACCTTTACGCCCCATTGGCACGCCGTGCCCGTCTTTTTCGGCTTCTCTCTGTCTCGCTGGAATGTCTGGCTGGAGTCTGGACCCCTGTGCTATGAAAATCTCAACCCGAGCATGGCATTGGGAACAGCCGACAGCATCGATGCCCCCAGAGATCCCCTGCCCAAGCCGCTGGGCCCGCATCTGCGCCTTCTTGGTATAAACGCCGGCGTCCCGTTCGGAGTCCTCACTTCTGCGCTGGACGCGCTTCAGATTCGCCCTGCCGTTGCATTGTTGGTGTGCGACCCAGACACTCACACGCCGCAAGTCAAGTCAAATCCTGTCAGCAGCAGCAGCAGCAGCAGACCCGTACGGATACTTCGTAATACCTACCTTACTCTCGGAAACTGAGTGTGAGACTGAGTGTTGGAAACCCACCCCTGCCCTGCCACCCTTTCCACTCTCCTACAGCTCAACCTGCAGAAACTGGAGAAGAAGAGAGAGGGAGATACCGGTAGCAACAGGCCCTCACCTGAGACCGAATCTGGAGCACAGGAATCGGCACATCAGAGACAGGAAAAAAGCACATACGGATACCGGTATCTTACACAGAATCTGTGAGGGGTGAACAATCGAGACAACTGTTTGTTGCTGTCTCCTGCTTGGCCAAGTTCTCGCCCGATCCCGCTCACTCGCTCGCTCGCTCGCTCCGCCGAACCGAACCAGAGCATTGCTGCCATTAAGATGAGCATTCAATATCGGCGTCTGGACCCTTCGAGGCGTGAGATCCGCCTGCTTGAGATTCAGTCCGCGCGCAGCCTCAGCGATCCAGTCGAGTGTCGGCTCGTCACAGTTCGCCTGACGGATGAGCTGTCCCGCGAGTACATCGCCCTCTCGTCACTCTATGGCGACGCGGCCGAGACCGAAAAGATCTTCGTGGGCGGCCATGCCGTCACTATCACGGCTCATCTGGCTCAGGCACTGAAGCAGGTCCGCGCCGTCTTCTATCCGACTATCTCGCAGCGCTTCCAGAGGACGCCGGCCAGGCGGCCTCACGGCGCCCCGAGATGGCTTAGGCAGCTCTTCGGTCTCGGTAGCTCACGTCAGAGTGACTTGGAGTCGAGGTGTTTGAGGGTGTGGTGCGACTTCCTCTGCGTCAACCAACGTGACGACGTGGAAAAGTCCAAGCAGCACACGGACATGCGTAACATCTATCGCAACGCGGAGCTTGTCGTCGGGTGGCTGGGCGACAAGAGGGACGACACCGATGAGGCCATGGCCGCTCTTGCGCGGATCGAGGACGCTATGCCGCCCCACTGGGGCGACCCCGGCGACCGCGAAAAGCACCCCGAAGACTACGCGCCATTTCACAAGTGGGCGGTCCCCATTGCGTCTCTATGGGCTCCTGGTCCCGACGGCGAGATTCCGTTCCTGATGCCGCATTGGGCCGGTGCCAACGACTTCATGGGCCGTTCCTACTTTCAACGTCGCTGGATCCTTGAAGAGCTCGCCATGGCAAGGTTCCCTACCTTTTTGATTGGAGACACCATTGTTCCGTGGAAGCAGGTACTTCGCTTGAACCGCATGATGGAGGAATTTAAGTATCATCCGTCCGACATCTTCCCCGCGGTAAGTACCTCACCGTACCGTTCTTCTGGAATTTTGGCCTTCAGGCTAAGCCTCCGGCCGGCGCTGTAACGCTCGCCTCACCTACTTCGCCCCCCTTACGGCCGTAAACCTCTGCATGAAGAGATCTCGATCGACTGACCCGGTTTCCGTAGAACCTATCGGCCATGATAGCCGAGTTACCTCTTGAGACAGCGCACAAGCTTCTCGATGAGTTTGCAAAGCGAGAGGCACTAGAGGAGGCCCAGATCCTCAAGGAGACGGGAAGCAGCCGGGCGACCTCGTCCACGCGATCCACCGACACCAAGTAATTGGCGTGGCGTGCGTGCCATCGATACTGGCGATGTTCGGGGTTCTGATCCAGATTTGAGTAGGATCCCGGCGAGAGAGTCAAGGTAGCAGGCGGGTATGGGATGGTCAAGTGCTTATCACTCACCTCAGTGACCTCACTTGTAGCAGGCAGGAGTTGTAGACCAGCCTGGAATGCTGCCAAGCCATGTCCGAAGGGAGGCTTATGGTTTGAGGGGTAATGGGAGGGGAATTCCACGGAAGGAGGGCTTAGCGTTGTAACGAGGATACCCAAAAGTTCCTTCTAGCTTCATTTTAGCAGGATCTTTGAACATATTTCTTTTCTTTCTTCTGTTTTGCTTGTGGCCGTTTTGTTCCCTTTCTTCCCGCAAACACATGCGCGCGCACGAGACGAAAAAAACGTACGGTTCCGTCGTGATATAAATACCAAGAGCCGCCTTCCCACAAACACTGTCCGGAATGCGCGGGTACGCTTGCCATGTGGTATTGAAGAATTTCGGACGAAACGGGGTCAAACTGGAGCGTTTCCCGAAGCTCCAGCATAATACACACCCATCGCATCACATCACATCAACCCCCTCCCCCCGCCCACTTCACGCCCAGGCTCCATGTCGTGCGACCCCAATGATTCGACTTTTTTGCAAAATATGAAGATTGGAGAGCGGGCCAGCTCAAATGCGAGGAATGATTTGCGAACTTGTGAAGCTTTCCTGCTGGGTCTCCAATAGTGTGATGCAGGATCCTGTGCGATGATAAGTGATACTCCGGGGGGCCTAAGGAAGGGGGGGGGGGCTGTTTCCTCTCTCTCTGCCTGTCCCTTCTTTGTTGGAGAATGAGAGAGGGGCCATTCTGCAGGCATCGCCAACCAAATAGACTGGTTTCTTTGGACAGGTATCTGTATGGAATCGATGGAATCATCAGAGTCCAAGGACTCGAAGATGCAAGGGTTACCGGAAGAACTAGCCCTGCATGATTTGCGACCTGCTGACCGGCGGATTACGTACTGAGGGAATTTTGTTCGTTGCAGAAACGCAAAAAGGACAGTATTAGCAGCTCGTCTAGGTACTGCATCGCTGCAGCGCGCGCATCATGCAGCTTTCCTGCGGCAATTCCGCTTAAGAAGCAAAGTGCAGCCGGGCAGGGTACGGTACACAGGACAGGGGGCCCGGGGTTTTATATGCAGGTTTTCTCACTCCAACATTTACGGAGTAGTATCCGTACTACATGAACTTTCCTAGGTAAGTCGGCCAAGCGACCGAAACTTACAAAGAAAGACAAACCAACCTCTCCTCTCTCCCTCTCCCTGACGGTCTTGCAGTTGCGAAATAACGTACCGCTTAACCGAGGGAACCGACAGTTTGGCACGCGCCACCACCTTTCTATTCCGTCCAGTATTCCGTGTCCAACCTGAAACTATATTTGCTTGCCATCCAACCTGCACCAACGCACTCATCCAAAACCAACAGCATGAACCCATCCCCATAACCTGGACATGTGTGCTGTTGGCCATGTTGGAGATTTTGCTCCCTTTGTCGGGGCCCATGTTGGTGTGGCAATCACATACGATAATTCTTCACCGCTACTACTTGGCCCTGCTTCGTTGGACGGTTGGAGATGGTTTCTTTGACGACGATCATGTACTTGCCTCCAAAGTCACCTTTTGTCTACAAAGTCACTTTCAGTTGATATTCCGGAAGGTGCGGAATTATTGACGTGTTTGGTCCGGGAGTAGTATTGTCAACTGATAACGACGGTGCCTTCTTGGAGCCGAATTGTCCGGAGAGTCTCTCGTCCCCAGGATTTTTCGTAATTGTTATCTTTCATATTTTCTCTCTGAGTCGCTCTTTGCGATCGTTACAGAGCAGGAGGGCTCGAACTGATGGAAGTCAACAATTGAACGCCAACTAGCTTGTTCAAAGACACAGACTGATCTGCTTCGCCAACCTCATGGCGACCAAGCCGCGAGCGAGTTGGCAGAATATCTTTGGTTTTGCTCATCAGATCATGCGAGAATTCTCGCGCACATAAAACGTCACAAACAACACTTGAGTTGTGATGGTCCTGACCAACTACGAATACGTTCTTCTGTTCATACAGGATTCTGCTCCAGCCAGCCACCCAAAAGCTCGAGCTATTTATTATCAGCAAGTGGCAGCGAGACACGACTCGAGTATGCATGCAAGTTCTGACAAGTCGCAATTCCTACGAAAAAGACGCAAAGAATAGGGGAACTAGTGACAAAATTGTGTCGCATCGTGTCAAGAAGTGCGACGGTTGAATTTTGAGAGAAAGGTGTGTTAATGCAATTGAAATGAGTGTTACCAAGTGTTGAGGCTCTACGGATACGAATTGCAAAAATGCAACTATAGCGTCAAAACTCGAGCCGCGCCAAACATCCGACCACCAACGGCAAACCCCACAATTTCTTGTTCCCCTCTCCTCCCGCAAAAGTGCGTGTGAGGTTGGATTTGGCACCTCTTGTTCGCTCGGAACATGACAAAGAGAAATTGGTGGCCGATCAACCAGAGTGGCATAAGAAGCGAAACAGCGAGAGGGTTGCGATTTGCGAAGCGAACCGCTCAGATCACTGTTTAGTGGAGATCTTTCCCCAGTTTGAGGACTTTCGTGCAGCTCTTGGCCGGCCGGTGGCACGAAAGAAGAAGAAGGAAACATCCCATTAATCCAATCCCATCCAATGCAAACCATTCCAAACCAACCGAACCGAACCCCACGCACGCACGCACGCACGTACTGTCACGCACGTACATCCGTACGGTACGGCCTCGGCCGTGCCGCAACCCTGCATGGGGAGTGTGGTTGTACAAAGTCTTGTTTTGTTTTTTTCTTGCCTTGAGCCTCCAACCTGCCTTTTCCTGCATCACTCCGAAAAATGTCTCGTTTGTTGAACGGCATGCGGGCGAGCATATGCAAACCTGACTCACGGCCCGAGGTAGCATCAGAGATCCTAATCTGCGGATGCATTGAGTGAATGAATGGGCAGA